TTAAGAAGGGCTTGCCCCCTTTGGTTTGGGGTAAATACCCCCCGGGGATTAGAATAATTATTAATTCTTACTTATAAAGAAAATTTAAATTTTAGGGCAGCTTTTTCCAAGGTTATTATTGATATCCTGGCCGACTAATTATCCAAGGTTATTCTTAATATCCTGACCTACTAATAAACAGGCCAATATCTCAGAGGACAAGCCCTCTTTCAAGTACCCGCCCGGGGTACCCGGGACCCACCACTCCACTTTGTTCCTTCACCCCCTTCGGGGTGGGGTAGGTTAGGGTAGGGTAAATACTCCTCTTAAGAGTAAAGGGTATTAGTAAAAGTAAAACTTGTCGCCTTTATTTTAAAAAATAAAGGACAACATGTCCCCTTTATTTATAAATAAAGGGGACTTGTCGCCGTCCCCCTTCCCCTTCGGGGAAGGGGACGGACAACATGTCCCGGCCCGGCCGTAGGCCGGGCCGGGACTTGTCGCCGTCCCCCTTCCCCTTCGGGGAAGGGGACGGACAACATGTCTTTAATTAATTTATAAATTAAAGACTTGCCGCCTTTATTTTATTTTAAAAAATAAAGGACAACATGTCCCGGCCCGGCCGTAGGCCGGGCCGGGACTTGTCGCCGGAAGGGGAGGGGCTCGCCCCTTAAAGAAGGTTTACGTTTACGTTTACGTTTACGTTTACCGGCGGGGAGGACATGTAAAACTAAATTCGATTTATTTATAAGTAAATAATATAAGTGTTTCCAGAAACTCTAATTAGAGTTCAGTTTTGGAAATGTATATCATATGCGTTTCTAGCTTAATTGGTAGAGTACAGGATTTCGGCTCTTGGTGGTAGAGGTTCAACTCCTCTGAAACGCTATCTAAATTTATCTGGTGGAAATAGTTTAATTGGTAGAACATTAGTTTGTGGTACTAACGGTTCCCGGTTCGATCCCGGGTTTTCACCCATATCTTAATATTATAAATACATTTAATCATTAAATAAATAACTAAAACCCCGGCCCCTCTGGTAGGGTAGAAAAAGAGGGGCCGGGGTTGGCCGGGGTTATTTACCCTTCTGTAACTGTAAAGGGCCCCTTCGGGGACGGGTGACACGTGAAACTTGTTTCCCCGAGACCGAGAATATCCCCTTAAAGAAGGGGAAACATGTCCCCCGCTTCTAGATCTAGTCTAGAAAAGCGGGGGACAAGTTAAACTAGTTTTAACTAGGGGCTTGTCACCTTTAAAATTAAAAAAGGAGACATGACCCATCAGGTCCCCCCGGAAGGGTACCCGGGGGTACCCCGCCTTCAAAGTACCGGTATTCATGCCGTGGGGACAGGGCCCCTCGTTTACGTTTACGTTTACGTTTACGTTTACGTTTACGTTTACGTTTACAGAAGGGGCTTGGCGCCGTCCCCGAAGGGGGACGGCGACATGCCCCATCCTCTTTGTAAGAGAGGAAGGGGCTAATTTATTTTATACTATTAATTTCCTTTAATTAATATAAAGATATAAGTAATAACTAATAAATATATAAGTAATAATTAGTTAATATTTATATATTTATAAATTTATGACAGGGAATTAACTCAGTGGTAGAGTGTTAATCTTACAAATTAAAAGTCGGTAGTTCGATTCTACTATTCCCTAAACTAATATTTTTATTAATCCTCGGCTATTAACCTCCGGGCCCGATGTCCCTGGCTCCCCATGGGGACTATTTAAAATATTTGTTATTTCTAAATCCTCCGTCCCTTGAGGCTGACCCCGGTGAGACTGGTACCTCTTTGAGGTATTTTAAGGTGTAAAGCCTCTGAACTAAATATTTTTTATAAAATATAATGGCCCAGGGGGTAAACCAGCCCTTATGTTTATGTTAAAACAAGTTTCTCCCCTTAAAGAGGAGGAATTTGTTTAAAAGTTCCGTCAGTTTAATTTATTGTAGCCCAGGGGGTTGGAGCCCGGGTATATTCTCGGGGCTTGTAGAGAGAATAAAACCCTTCTGGGGACTGGGGACTGGGGAAAATCCCCTTTAGATTTGAATTTGAATTTGATTTAGAGGGGGCCTTTTGCCGCCCTCTAAAGGGGGATTAATCCCCCAGGGCTAAATTTTAATTTTCAATTTAAATCTCTGTGTGTCCTTTTTATTAAGTTAATAAATAGAATAGATGACCGAATCGGTAAGGAAGTAGTTTGCTAAACTATGGACGTAACTGTCCCTGTGGGTTCAAGTCCCACTCTATTCATTTCTATATTTAAATATAGGTTTTCTTTTTATGAATACTAATTCCCTTCCCCTCGGGGGCTTTCCCCTCGGGGAAAGCCCCCTAGTAAAAGTAAAAGTAAAAGTAAAAGTAAAAGTAAAAGTAAAATTGGGGCTTAGTAACTCAATCTGATCCGTCGGCCCTTCCGGACCGAGGATTAGTATTCAATAAGATAATAGAAGGAGATAAAGAAAATGTTAATTTCTCTCTATAGAAAACCTTTAATTATTATAATTGACCCGGGGGGATCCCGACTCAAGGGTCAGGGTCCGCGGAACGGGCCCAGATTTATATATTCGATTAAAAATCTTACGAGGCAGGTGGGACTCGAACCCATATCCACTTACGTGACAAGTAAGGACTCTACCAGTTAAGCTACTGCCCCTTAATATATATATCTTTCTTATAAAAAGAATATATAAAGTTTTCGAAACACCCTTGTGTAGTATTACCCCAGGCCCGCTGGAGGCGGACCTTGGCCAGTTGGGGGTTGGATAGTTGTTTATTTAATTTAAAATTGAAACCTTAAATAATAAGCAAAAGAATATTGATAATAAATATATTTTATTTTAAAACCACGGGGCGGGGGCCCTATTAAGACGCGCCCGCCCCGGGGCTCGGTTTTATGTTTTAGTGTTCATAGTCTACATAAGTAAAGGGGGGTTTAATTTAAATACCAAAATTTAAAAGGACCCCTGAAGGGGCATGTCGCCGTCCCCGAAGGGGGACGGCGACATGCCCCATCCTCTTTGTAAGAGAGGAAGGGGCTAATTTTAAGAGAGCAAACTTGTCACCTTCCCCTCTCCAATTAACCTGGAGAGGAGGAGACATGTCGCCGGGGGGCCGTAGGCCCCCCCGGGACCACATATTGTCCTAGGGGACATGTTTGTTAAAACATATTTTTAACTTAACAAAATATGTTTTAACAAATTTGTTAAGACAAAAAAGCTAGGCCCCTTTAAGAGGGTCAGGTGATTAATAGTATATCTTAAGGGTTTAAAAGTATATAGAATAAAAGAATTACAATAATGTAACATTCATTCTATAAGTTAGTTATACGATTGGCAGGACTTGAACCTGCAAGGTATTTTTACCAGCTGAACCTAAATCAACCATGTTTGCCAATTTCATCACAATCGTTTAAAAAGGTGTTACTTATATAATAATAAAAATTCAAAATCTTATTAGATACTAGTATGTTCAAGGATTTTAATCAAACAAAATAAGTAAATATTAGATTAAATGAATTAAAAATTTATGAAGAAATATCAGGGACATGTCGTCCTTTATTTTTTAAAGGACGACATGTCCCATCCCTCTTTAAGAAAGAGGGAAGGGACTCCCTAAAAGGAGTCATCTAGTGATCCCAACCCTCATTAAATTATTTATACTAATATAAGTATAAATATTATTAACGAAAGGGGCCGACCTCTGGCTTTCTTGGCTTCGCCCTTTTTAAGCATGCTGTCCTCCGGGCCGACGCTTGCCTAGTTCAATGGTAGAACAGGGTACTTCTAATACCCCAATCCAGGTTCGATTCCTGGGGTGAGTTATATTTTATTTAAATCCTCGGCCCTCCCTATATCCTAAAGGTCTTCAATTTACTTAAATACTCCTTCCCGGCCCCGAAGGGGCCGGGCCGGGATGGAGATGTCGCCGGGGGCCTACGGCCCCCGGCGCCACTCCTTATAATTATTTTTGTAAAATTTTAAAAAGTAGCCGGCTATTTTGAGGTTTGGTCTACATCCTACATCACCCATAAAGGTATAAATTTGAGTCCCGCGGGGGCTGCCCTTTAAGAGGGAGAGGGACATCCCCCGCTCTTTAATCTTTAAAGGGGGAAGGTGATTTATAATAAAACCCTTATGTACGTAAAAGAAGGGAGGTTAATTCTACTTATAAAGTCATCACCCGGGGCGGGGGCCCTGTTAAGACGCGCCCTAGCCCCGGGGCACGGGCACTTTTGATTTAAATAGTAGGCATATAATAGGTGAGGACCTAATTTGATTAATATTTTTATAGTAGGAAATTATGAATTGATGACTGTGATGATGTTTTGTCAAAACTTTTTAATTCTTAGCCCCTTTTAAGGGGTGCTTACCGCTTACCTCAGGGTCAGCCTTATTAATACTAAAACCCCGGGGCGGGGGCCCTATTAAGACGCGCCCGCCCCGGGGCCATGTTAAACTTGTTTAGATCCTGCCCCCTTCAAAGAAGGGGGGTTAAATTCCCCCCGGGGGCCTACGGCCCCCCGGGGAATTATATTTAAATAGAAGAATTTAATTAATAATTATAATCTCAGGTTGGTAAGATTTGAACTTACATTTTTTTACACCCAAAGTAAATGCCTTACCAGATTAGGCTACAACCTGATAATAAATATTATAGTAACAATCATTAATTTTTTAATAAAAAATTAAAATTAATTTGTGGGTCAAATCCTAAATAGATTGGTTTAATATTTATTTGACTCCAGCCAGGGTCCGTCTAAGAGACGTCCCCAATTGGAGGAGGAAAGATAAGATAGTAAATCTAAACCTATCCTCTTCTAATACCCGGCCCCTCTTTTTCTACCATAGGCCCCGGATAATTTACCCCCGGGCATCTTAATTTATCTTAAGATAAATGAAGGGGCTTGTCGCCGGAGGGCTTGTCCCCCCCTCCGAAGACATGCCCCATCCCGGGGGCCGTAGGCCCCCCGGGATGGGGCTAAGAGGTTTATTTATTAGATTTATTAATCGATTTATGATTGGAGTTACCGAGACTCGAACTCGGACTACTCGTATGCAAAACGAGCCCTCTACCATTTAAGGAATAACCCCCTATCAAACTTACTTATAGAAATATTATGTATTTCAAATTGTTTTAATTTATAATTTGGACCTTTTTCTTCTATTCAAAGGGTTCTTAACAAAATCAATAAGTTCCGCCCCCCCGGGGCGGGGGGAACAAGCACCCCCGCTTTTTTAAGGGGGCCAAGCCCCCTTAAAAAGGGCTTGTTTAACTAGTCCCGCCCTTTTAAGGTTAAGGGGGCAGAACTAGAACTTGCCCCCGTAATGAGGTGGGATAAAGGGCCCCCCCTTTAAATTAAAGGGGGGCTAGTAATAAAATTAAAATGAATTAATTTAATAAAAGTAATATAGATTTTAACAATATCACTTCATTCCCCGGAGGGAGGAGGTCCCGTGGGGACATTATGCCCCCATATTTAAAAGGGACATTAGGTCCGGAGGTACCGAGGATTTTTAATATATATATAAAATAGTTTATTTATTATCTTCCCCTTTGAAAGCTCCGGGTTTAGATTAGATTAGATTAGATTAAAACCCCTGAATAAGCTTATTCTTTAAATGAATAAATTCAAATGCTGTTATAGTTCAATGGTAGAACGGTAAACTGTTAATTTATGAATAGAGGTTCGATTCCTCTTAACGGCTATATTATTAATTCCTTAATTTGTTCAAAATTTTTTGAATTAAAAGGAAATTGGTAATTTTTATACCATTTAATTCGAATTAGCCCCTTCCCCTCTCCAATTGAAGGGGGGAGGGGTAAATACCCCCGGAGGGGGGTAAAACGGGGTAAATTATCCCCGGGGATAATTAGAATATAAGTCCCAGAAAACCTGGGCTAGTTTTGTTAAAACTAGGCCCCAAAGGCTAGTTTTATTCTAAACCTCGACGAGATAATTCTAAATAAGTGGAATTAAGAATCTAAATCCTTCCCGGATTCCTTTTTAGTATAGTATAAAACCCCTTCCGGGGCCCCCCGCCGGGACTTCGGATATTTTACCCAATAAGGTATTAGTTTCCTGCCGAGTTTTTACGATTTCTCGTAAAAACTCGGGATAACAAATACCCTTTTTAAATTAAAGGGGGGGTTAGTTTCCTCGGGGTTTAGGCTTTTTCGGACCTAAAGTTTAAGATACATAATAAAACTTCCCCCGTTAAAGGGGCGGCGGCAGGGTCTCCGCCCCGGGGTTTATGTAATTTAAGCATATCCACTAGTATTAATTAAATAATAATTAGTTTAGGTGGTCATGTTAGGTATAATGGCTGCTTTTGGTAGTCATAGGAAAAATTTGGTTCTTAATTAGCCCTAATTTATAGGGATAATTTTAGCTTACATGAACGCAATTCTATTAGATCTATTGGCTTTTGGTTCTGTATTGTCTGGTATTTTAGTAATTACATCACGGAATCCTATTATTTCAGTATTATTTTTAATCGCAGTTTTTGTTAATGTAGCTTGTTATTTAATTTTATTAGGTATCAATTTTATTGGTCTTGCATATTTAATTGTGTATGTAGGAGCAATTGCTATTTTATTCCTTTTCGTAGTAATGATGCTTAATATTAAATTAGTAGAGTTACAAGATTCAACAGAAAATTCTTCTAATCCATATCCATTAGCTTTTGTATTAGGTACTTTATTTGTAAGTGGTTTAAGTTTAACTAACCCAAATATTTCAAAAATTGATTTACCTACTATTTTTGACTCAATTAATTTATTATCATTTAAATCAGACAAATTAGAAACATTATTTGTAAGTCATTCAAATTGGGATAGTGTATTTGTATCTCTAGATCAAATTAATAGTTTAGGTCAAGTATTATATACTTCTCATGCATTATTCTTAATTATTGGAAGTATGATTTTATTATTAGCTATGGTTGGACCAATTATTTTATCACACAAACCAACTAAACGATTAGATTAATAATAAAATTAACTAAACTTGATTTTTGTCTTTAGCTTTGGAGGGGCTTGTTTTGTTAAAAACATGCCCCATCCTCTAAACCCGGGGCGGGGGCCCTATTAAGACGCGCCCGCCCCGGGCCTGTTTTCAATATTATTATTAAAACTATTAGAGAGCCACTTGACTTAATGGTTTAGTAGACCATAGTATCCTACTTTATTAGGACCTAATCGTCTTTGCATAGATCCCATAGCTTTTCGTTCCGCAATAGTAATAAAAGCTACAGACATTAATAATGGTACAATTACAATAAGTACCTCAATAAATGATAATAACATGAGTAAATAATTATATATGAATAATCCTAATATTCTTTCAAAATTCTTCCGAAACCTATTAAATCAAGACTCTAACAAAGAATTAAATAAAAAGAATATTGATTATTAAATTTATCGTCATCAAGCCATTAGACTTAGTAATTTTATTTAGTTAATTATTAATTCAGACGAGGGCCGGCGTAGTGGGACCTTGTCAAGGGTCCCTCCGGCCCCCTTGGCTTAAATAGTCTAAAAATAATCATATGAAATAAGTAATAAAATAAAATCATTTAATTATATTTTAATTTAAATAGAAGAAAAAAGGCCCCGGGGCGGGCGCGTCTTAATAGGGCCCCCGCCCCGGGTTTAGAGGATGGGGCATGTTTTTAACAAAACAAGCCCCTCCAAAGCTAAAGACAAAAATCAAGTTTAGTTAATTTTATTATTAATCTAATCGTTTAGTTGGTTTGTGTGATAAAATAATTGGTCCAACCATAGCTAATAATAAAATCATACTTCCAATAATTAAGAATAATGCATGAGAAGTATATAATACTTGACCTAAACTATTAATTTGATCTAGAGATACAAATACACTATCCCAATTTGAATGACTTACAAATAATGTTTCTAATTTGTCTGATTTAAATGATAATAAATTAATTGAGTCAAAAATAGTAGGTAAATCAATTTTTGAAATATTTGGGTTAGTTAAACTTAAACCACTTACAAATAAAGTACCTAATACAAAAGCTAATGGATATGGATTAGAAGAATTTTCTGTTGAATCTTGTAACTCTACTAATTTAATATTAAGCATCATTACTACGAAAAGGAATAAAATAGCAATTGCTCCTACATACACAATTAAATATGCAAGACCAATAAAATTGATACCTAATAAAATTAAATAACAAGCTACATTAACAAAAACTGCGATTAAAAATAATACTGAAATAATAGGATTCCGTGATGTAATTACTAAAATACCAGACAATACAGAACCAAAAGCCAATAGATCTAATAGAATTGCGTTCATGTAAGCTAAAATTATCCCTATAAATTAGGGCTAATTAAGAACCAAATTTTTCCTATGACTACCAAAAGCAGCCATTATACCTAACATGACCACCTAAACTAATTATTATTTAATTAATACTAGTGGATATGCTTAAATTACATAAACCCCGGGGCGGAGACCCTGCCGCCGCCCCTTTAACGGGGGAAGTTTTATTATGTATCTTAAACTTTAGGTCCGAAAAAGCCTAAACCCCGAGGAAACTAACCCCCCCTTTAATTTAAAAAGGGTATTTGTTATCCCGAGTTTTTACGAGAAATCGTAAAAACTCGGCAGGAAACTAATACCTTATTGGGTAAAATATCCGAAGTCCCGGCGGGGGGCCCCGGAAGGGGTTTTATACTATACTAAAAAGGAATCCGGGAAGGATTTAGATTCTTAATTCCACTTATTTAGAATTATCTCGTCGAGGTTTAGAATAAAACTAGCCTTTGGGGCCTAGTTTTAACAAAACTAGCCCAGGTTTTCTGGGACTTATATTCTAATTATCCCCGGGGATAATTTACCCCGTTTTACCCCCCTCCGGGGGTATTTACCCCTCCCCCCTTCAATTGGAGAGGGGAAGGGGCTAATTCGAATTAAATGGTATAAAAATTACCAATTTCCTTTTAATTCAAAAAATTTTGAACAAATTAAGGAATTAATAATATAGCCGTTAAGAGGAATCGAACCTCTATTCATAAATTAACAGTTTACCGTTCTACCATTGAACTATAACAGCATTTGAATTTATTCATTTAAAGAATAAGCTTATTCAGGGGTTTTAATCTAATCTAATCTAATCTAAACCCGGAGCTTTCAAAGGGGAAGATAATAAATAAACTATTTTATATATATATTAAAAATCCTCGGTACCTCCGGACCTAATGTCCCTTTTAAATATGGGGGCATAATGTCCCCACGGGACCTCCTCCCTCCGGGGAATGAAGTGATATTGTTAAAATCTATATTACTTTTATTAAATTAATTCATTTTAATTTTATTACTAGCCCCCCTTTAATTTAAAGGGGGGGCCCTTTATCCCACCTCATTACGGGGGCAAGTTCTAGTTCTGCCCCCTTAACCTTAAAAGGGCGGGACTAGTTAAACAAGCCCTTTTTAAGGGGGCTTGGCCCCCTTAAAAAAGCGGGGGTGCTTGTTCCCCCCGCCCCGGGGGGGCGGAACTTATTGATTTTGTTAAGAACCCTTTGAATAGAAGAAAAAGGTCCAAATTATAAATTAAAACAATTTGAAATACATAATATTTCTATAAGTAAGTTTGATAGGGGGTTATTCCTTAAATGGTAGAGGGCTCGTTTTGCATACGAGTAGTCCGAGTTCGAGTCTCGGTAACTCCAATCATAAATCGATTAATAAATCTAATAAATAAACCTCTTAGCCCCATCCCGGGGGGCCTACGGCCCCCGGGATGGGGCATGTCTTCGGAGGGGGGGACAAGCCCTCCGGCGACAAGCCCCTTCATTTATCTTAAGATAAATTAAGATGCCCGGGGGTAAATTATCCGGGGCCTATGGTAGAAAAAGAGGGGCCGGGTATTAGAAGAGGATAGGTTTAGATTTACTATCTTATCTTTCCTCCTCCAATTGGGGACGTCTCTTAGACGGACCCTGGCTGGAGTCAAATAAATATTAAACCAATCTATTTAGGATTTGACCCACAAATTAATTTTAATTTTTTATTAAAAAATTAATGATTGTTACTATAATATTTATTATCAGGTTGTAGCCTAATCTGGTAAGGCATTTACTTTGGGTGTAAAAAAATGTAAGTTCAAATCTTACCAACCTGAGATTATAATTATTAATTAAATTCTTCTATTTAAATATAATTCCCCGGGGGGCCGTAGGCCCCCGGGGGGAATTTAACCCCCCTTCTTTGAAGGGGGCAGGATCTAAACAAGTTTAACATGGCCCCGGGGCGGGCGCGTCTTAATAGGGCCCCCGCCCCGGGGTTTTAGTATTAATAAGGCTGACCCTGAGGTAAGCGGTAAGCACCCCTTAAAAGGGGCTAAGAATTAAAAAGTTTTGACAAAACATCATCACAGTCATCAATTCATAATTTCCTACTATAAAAATATTAATCAAATTAGGTCCTCACCTATTATATGCCTACTATTTAAATCAAAAGTGCCCGTGCCCCGGGGCTAGGGCGCGTCTTAACAGGGCCCCCGCCCCGGGTGATGACTTTATAAGTAGAATTAACCTCCCTTCTTTTACGTACATAAGGGTTTTATTATAAATCACCTTCCCCCTTTAAAGATTAAAGAGCGGGGGATGTCCCTCTCCCTCTTAAAGGGCAGCCCCCGCGGGACTCAAATTTATACCTTTATGGGTGATGTAGGATGTAGACCAAACCTCAAAATAGCCGGCTACTTTTTAAAATTTTACAAAAATAATTATAAGGAGTGGCGCCGGGGGCCGTAGGCCCCCGGCGACATCTCCATCCCGGCCCGGCCCCTTCGGGGCCGGGAAGGAGTATTTAAGTAAATTGAAGACCTTTAGGATATAGGGAGGGCCGAGGATTTAAATAAAATATAACTCACCCCAGGAATCGAACCTGGATTGGGGTATTAGAAGTACCCTGTTCTACCATTGAACTAGGCAAGCGTCGGCCCGGAGGACAGCATGCTTAAAAAGGGCGAAGCCAAGAAAGCCAGAGGTCGGCCCCTTTCGTTAATAATATTTATACTTATATTAGTATAAATAATTTAATGAGGGTTGGGATCACTAGATGACTCCTTTTAGGGAGTCCCTTCCCTCTTTCTTAAAGAGGGATGGGACATGTCGTCCTTTAAAAAATAAAGGACGACATGTCCCTGATATTTCTTCATAAATTTTTAATTCATTTAATCTAATATTTACTTATTTTGTTTGATTAAAATCCTTGAACATACTAGTATCTAATAAGATTTTGAATTTTTATTATTATATAAGTAACACCTTTTTAAACGATTGTGATGAAATTGGCAAACATGGTTGATTTAGGTTCAGCTGGTAAAAATACCTTGCAGGTTCAAGTCCTGCCAATCGTATAACTAACTTATAGAATGAATGTTACATTATTGTAATTCTTTTATTCTATATACTTTTAAACCCTTAAGATATACTATTAATCACCTGACCCTCTTAAAGGGGCCTAGCTTTTTTGTCTTAACAAATTTGTTAAAACATATTTTGTTAAGTTAAAAATATGTTTTAACAAACATGTCCCCTAGGACAATATGTGGTCCCGGGGGGGCCTACGGCCCCCCGGCGACATGTCTCCTCCTCTCCAGGTTAATTGGAGAGGGGAAGGTGACAAGTTTGCTCTCTTAAAATTAGCCCCTTCCTCTCTTACAAAGAGGATGGGGCATGTCGCCGTCCCCCTTCGGGGACGGCGACATGCCCCTTCAGGGGTCCTTTTAAATTTTGGTATTTAAATTAAACCCCCCTTTACTTATGTAGACTATGAACACTAAAACATAAAACCGAGCCCCGGGGCGGGCGCGTCTTAATAGGGCCCCCGCCCCGTGGTTTTAAAATAAAATATATTTATTATCAATATTCTTTTGCTTATTATTTAAGGTTTCAATTTTAAATTAAATAAACAACTATCCAACCCCCAACTGGCCAAGGTCCGCCTCCAGCGGGCCTGGGGTAATACTACACAAGGGTGTTTCGAAAACTTTATATATTCTTTTTATAAGAAAGATATATATATTAAGGGGCAGTAGCTTAACTGGTAGAGTCCTTACTTGTCACGTAAGTGGATATGGGTTCGAGTCCCACCTGCCTCGTAAGATTTTTAATCGAATATATAAATCTGGGCCCGTTCCGCGGACCCTGACCCTTGAGTCGGGATCCCCCCGGGTCAATTATAATAATTAAAGGTTTTCTATAGAGAGAAATTAACATTTTCTTTATCTCCTTCTATTATCTTATTGAATACTAATCCTCGGTCCGGAAGGGCCGACGGATCAGATTGAGTTACTAAGCCCCAATTTTACTTTTACTTTTACTTTTACTTTTACTTTTACTTTTACTTTAGGGGAAAGCCCCGAAAGTAAAAGTAAAAGTAAAAGTAAAAGTAAAGTAAAATTGGGGCTTAGTAACTCAATCTGATCCGTCGGCCCTTCCGGACCGAGGATTAGTATTCAATAAGATAATAGAAGGAGATAAAGAAAATGTTAATTTCTCTCTATAGAAAACCTTTAATTATTATAATTGACCCGGGGGGATCCCGACTCAAGGGTCAGGGTCCGCGGAACGGGCCCAGATTTATATATTCGATTAAAAATCTTACGAGGCAGGTGGGACTCGAACCCATATCCACTTACGTGACAAGTAAGGACTC